GGAAGGAGACAAAAATTTAGAAGTCGTGGTGGCGTGGCGTCGAGGCCGAGGAAAGGCCGCGTGGGCCGCGAGGACAGTGCCGTCGGATCCTCTGCCATCCCCTCCCCCCGCCACCCGGCGGCGGGCCGTGGCGGCAGAGGAGTAGTCTTTGCGGGCGGTGTCCCGGTCGCCGCGCTTTCCTTTCCACTCGGCCGTTGACTGCTGTGGCGGCAGCGTCGACCGCCACGGAGCTCGGCTGGGTCTTTGCCAGCGGTGCCGCTCCATGGGAGTGGGCTGAGCTGGGACACGGCCTTCCTCTGCGATTCATTCAGCACTCGTGTTGAAACAATACGGTACTCCCGCGCTGTTACGCAAGTTACAGCACCGTTATCGTAAAGGCATTGGGGAATGCTGTAGCATAGCGTTAAAAGCAACGCACCTGGAATTTACATTTAGTGTAACTTATTAACCAAAATCACATGATTCCTGATGGTCACAATGAGAAGGAAAGCGAAACAAAAATCTGAAACAATACAATGCACCTCAGGATGCCTAACCTTCATCGTACCTCGTCGGCAGAAATCCCGTCACTTCAGCGCTACATCTAAATTGCTAATACTAGAATGTTCTACACGATATGCTACAACTAACCCAGGTTATGCTACTGACGTTTTATTATTATTATTATTATTGTTATTGTTGTTATTATTATTGTTATTTTTATTATTTTTATTATTATTTATTATTAAAAAGTTATTCTAAAACTTCTAGGGCCCATTTCACTCTTATCTACACTTGTCTGTTTCCGACGAGACTCCTGCCTTCAGCCTCTACAATTAACATGAAATAGCCACGAGTAAGTGAAATGCATTTTACGTCAAAATACGTTGTTCTTCGATGTTCACAATACTTTCTAAATGCGTTAGACGGCGAAGTAGACAGCTGAAAATCCCTTGGTGTGGTAAGGGCAGTTATGTATACCTTAATATGCCCAGACTGCGATGTTCCATCTGGGGCTGTGCCCCGGTGGGGAAGATACCTGGGTGAGGGAGCGCCCACTATCCGACGTGTGTCAGCACCAGGTCTCACCATCTACTGGGAATGGGACACCGCCACCTCCAAGCTTGAAAATATCCCTAGAACGACGGGATTAATGACCATAGCAGTTTACTTGCCGTAAACATCAATCTATTAATCAACTTTTCAAATTTCTGCCGAATCGTAAATGAGATTGTGAAGTTGGGAAGTATTTGAAACGTTTCTTTTTTGGATCAAGATAATTTTAGTTAGTTTTGCTTATTTTTATCTACAGCAGTTTTTACCATCGTACTTGTCTAGACGTTTGTAATTGTAATTTTGTCCGAACAAAGGAGATTTTATCTCCAGTAATAAGAGACACTCCCAGTAGTACTACAGTAGTACAGCTTACCAATTCGACTCCCCATAATGTATATCTTCTGGGCTTCGTAGAACAAGAGAAATTGTCGAGAAATTGACAAGCGAAGCAAACCGACTTACAGAATTGTTCATTTCCGAGTTCAGAACACGCTTGGCGTTTTCTTTTTATATCCGAAATGACTTAATCTGTATATTTGTGTTCAAAACTTCGTAATTTTCACACATTCATAGTTGTTCACGATCATTTTTATCGGAAATAGCGGACTTGTGTATAGTATGTTTTCAGCAGCATTAACAATTACAAATTTCGGTTAGCAATTTTTTTAATAAAACTCCATGAAAATGAAAATAAAAATTCAGTTTGTCTAAGTTTACCTGATAACACATTTTAGGACTATTGGTATGCTCCTACAAACGTGAAGTACTGGTTAATGAGATATTTGAAATTGAATAGAAATTCAAATATAATGTCCGATGTCGGCAGGTACGTGCTTCGACAAGACGACGAGTCTGCTATGTATCTTTTTCTATCTCCAACTCATGCGTTTTTTCACATCGGTTTCTTTTTGTTTACCTTCAATTAGATTTCCATTGTGTGTACTTTCTCTGGCAGGATGCCGTACACCCAGCATCCCTCTTCAGTGGAAACAAAATCATTTATTGATGTTCGGATTAACTTTAAATACATATTCTCTTCTTCAGCGAAAGTTGGCATGGGTACTTTTCATCTCTTTAAACCAAAAATTTGTTTGATTTTACTCAATACGCAACATATTTTGTTTTAGAGAAATTAGAAAGGTTTCACTACTGTTCGAAATGATATCGTGCAATTTATGTCATAAATAACGCCGGACTGTTATAATTCAAATTCTATTTATTGCATGGTAACTGGGTCTATTAAGAAAAAATAAAATATAATTTATTAACAATACATCAAAACACACTTTACACAAAAATGTATACAAACTATCACAACAAACGTTTTAACGAAAGCCTCAAAATTTTCGATATTTTCTCGAAGAAAGCACATTATATTTTCTTAAGGTTGCTTTTACTCGACAATTTCTAAAACCATTATCACTGCAAAACTACAATATTTGACAACTTTCCCCCCTAACCTAATACTTGATCTAAAATATTAAATCTTAAAACTGCGTCATGAGATTTTTTTAAAATACCAGTAATTTTTGCTCTAAGTAAAAGAATTAATAATTCCTGATGCTAAAAATACAATACTTGCTCGCATTATTTGTAACTTTTTCAGTTGTCGAAAATTTAGAGACATCAAAAATGGGTCCTGTTCCGTGTTTAAGTATCCTTGCTCTACCTGAGGGAAATAAAATGTTGAAACATTTGGAGCCGTTTTTGAGAAAACGTATTTTTTTAATTGCCTAACTCGACCTAATTTAAAGATCTAGTTTTTAAAACAGATTTCAATGAGAACATAAATTTATCTTCATTATTGTAGTTTTAAGAAGACGTCGAAAAAATTGAAGAATTTTCGGAAATTCGACGAACGAAAAACAAAATACGTTCAACGAAAACTAGACCTGCGCCACTTTGTTATTCGAGCTGTCTGGAGAATTCCAGCGGCCGTCTGCTCTGATCGGTAGTTTTCCGTTTTGTTTTTTTTTTTCATTTGAACACCAGGCGAATGGCAGAGCAGTACCCTAACAAACGGGCCCCAGACTGCACGCGGTCTCATCTCCCTCTTCCTTGTCCTATCCTCACACCTTCTTACACACACACGCACCACAAAGGACACCCGTCAGGAGCTAAGAGCTTGACACGGCTGGGGCAGTACCCTGCTGGTGGGAGATACCTGGTTGTGGAAAACTCCGCTAGTCGACAGTAGGTCGGCGCCGGATTTCGACATGCAGTGTGGGAAAGATTACCGCCACCTCCCGAGAAAAACACATTCATTACATTTACGGGACTAATGACCCTGATAGTTGACGTGCCCGGAATCAATAAAAAATCAATCAAAAAAATCCGAGGAAAATATTAATTCGCATCTCGCATTTTTTTTTAATTTGCAATTTTTTCGAAAATGCGATGAGATAGCCAAAATGGGACTAGCACCATATTTCTTAGCCGACACATACGAGGAGAAAATTAAAAGACAAAATTGCAGCGATTTTTGAGAAAAATTGATTAAAAAATAAAAATTGACTATACTTCACCCAAAATTAAACGACACATTTTGTCGTGTTCTTACGAAATTTTGGATAAGCCGACAAAATACGGGATGGAGAAAAATATACAAAATAATTAAAATGCTTGTTTGTAGCGTCAAGAAAGGATTTTATAATTGCTATAGAACTGACCAACTAATTATTGAAATACAAGTCGAAATGAAACGTTTTTTGCACTGGTAACTACAACGTATATCACATGTATATGTAACAGTAATTTTCATTTAGAGGAACTTGCAAAATTGGTAATATTTTGCCGTAAGGAACTGAATGCGCTTGATGATATGTGATGTAATGATGCTACTTCTAAGCTACGGTGCCATTTTCTCCCATCGCACGCTACATTGCAAAGTCTGCTAATCCTATAGATGTATTTGTATATGAAGGGTACATTTTTTCGGTTATTTCAAATATTTCCAAATCCAAACAGACTACATCCCCAATTAGTTGGGATTACAGGGGTGATACTGTATTGTAGATGTAAGAAACGCCCCAAAAAATTGCACTTTTTTAAGGCGAATCATCGTTTTTACATCAAACTTATCAATTCCATAAATTACTCGAAACCAGTTCGAGCAAAATATTAAGAACAAACAAAAGAGAATTTTTTCAATGAATCTTGTTGATATCCTTAAAATTATAAAAAATCAGTGATCTCTCTCCCTGAATACTGGATGTAAATGAAAAGCAAACAGTCATATTATTTCAGTGCATTTTTGCTTCTATATTTATTTGTCCTCAACAACAAGTTTCTACAATTTCAGAGATACATTGAATGCATTTCTGAGCGAAGTTGATTGGCACGTTGTATATGCGAGATCAGAACCACAGTATTGAAGTAACATCAATATGCCACGGAACTTTTAAAATAAAAGTGAAATGTGAAGACTTTAATAAAAGTAAAATTAAACTAGTAGTGCTAGAAAGCACAAATTTGCTGCATTATTTCTAACTTTCAGAAATATCGAAAATTCTGAGAGTTCAACGAAAATTAATCCTGGACCATTTTAAAACGTATTTGCTCTATCTGCGGAAAAAAGTTTAAAGGAACAATTTGGAGCCGTTTTCCAAAAAAGAAACAGTACTTTCTCGCAATAACTTAGTAAGAAAAAGTTCTGTAATCATGCGCCGGAAACACGCGAATTTTCAACAGAAAATAACCTAATTGCCGGCCCATAGTAGCGCAAACGTGGATAAATCTTGTAGGTAAATTGCTTCTTATAACAGGCAGTGTAGCCGGAATTCGGTCATTAATACCAAAAAAATCGATTGATGGCAAAATGTCTGAGGGTGTCTGTCTGTCCGTACGTCCGTTCGTCTGACCGTCTGTAGTCAACGCTAGCGCTTAAAGCGTTCAGCCAATTTTCTCCAAAATTTATATTCCCCGATTTATGTGAACGAACTCAAGGATTTGCGAGTTTCAAACGGTTTAATTTTTGATACTTTGCACAAAGCCTTAAAAACATTTTGAAAATTTTCTTAAAAATACTCCAATTTTTTAAAATAAACTTCGTCTGTAGATAGCGTAAAGGACGCTTGATAGTGGTGCAGGTCTCGTAAAATCCCAAATTTTTCGAAAATTGTAAAAGTGCAATGAATCAGGAAAATTAATTTTGGAGAAAATCATCTCAACTGTTGAGGCGCTCGTGTTGGCCACGTACTGACGGACGACGTACGGCCAGACGAACGGACAGGTGAACGGACAGACGGACGGGCTGGCGAACGAACGAACGGACGGACAAAATTAGAGAGGACCGTAGAGACGGACGAAAAGGCGGACGGACGTAAGGCCTGACGGACGAACGTAGAGACGGACGAATAGGCGGACGGACGTATGGTCTGACGAACGGACGGATGAAAGAACAAACGGAGTACAGACAGACAAACGGACGTACAGAGAAACAAACGAACGTACAGACAGAAAAACGGACGTACAGACAGACAAACGGACGTACAGACAGACAAACGAACGTACAGACAGACAAACGGACGTACAGGCAGGTTTTTTCCGCATGATGACAATAGTTTCTCTTTACTACGATCGTAGACGACGAGAAAGTAA